CCCTGCTTACATGGGCGCCTAAGGCGCGGGAACCTACATGGGGCCCTACCTCCTGGCTACTGCAGGCGAGTAGCCTCTCCCACCGCTTAAGGGGTTCCTTTCTCGTCTTCCTGGCTCGTGTTCCCTCACTTCCGGGCCACAACAACAACATACACCCCTCTTATTGCTTGTTGTCTTCGTCCTCCGTCGCAACTTCTTTTTCGTCGGGAGTGACATCTCATGACATCTTCTCCTTCCTTCCTCACAAGGAGCAAATTATCTTGCTCCTTACCTTGTAGGCTATGTATGGTCTTTTTGCCCTTGAACCTCTTCTCTGGGGACAAGTCCTTGAACATGGGGAACTGGTTAGGCTTCACGTACACCTCCGTCTTTAAGGTCTTCTTTGAGAAGGCATCGGACGTCTGTCCTGCTTGCCTGACCTCTGCAGCTAAGTGATTTCTAAGATTCCTAATTGCATTATATCAGGTACAATTAGAGCAAAGCGGTGAAGCATCCGGGGGTTGTTACGCCCTCATGGAGTATGGCTACCTGCTTGTGGCTACCTGCTTGTGGCTACCTGCTTGTGGCTACCTGCTTGTGGCCCGTCTACTTTAGCTGTCAGATGATCTATACTCTCACCATGATACTTCCGTATGTTGAGTATGGCAACAAAGGCTTTGAGTGCTTCATTCCTATATGGAAATCTGTCCTTAAGCACCCTCATGACGTGCTCAAAATAGGAATGATGGAAATATGCTATACGATGTTTCTCTCAAGCCGGACTGCCTGTGGCTGTGAATGCAGCGAAGTCAACGCATCTCCCTCCATCACCATACTAACCACCACAATCTCATTCTCCTCAATCCTCTACACGTACAGGTAAATTCTAACTCCGGGCTCCTGACCAAGCACAACTTCATCCTTCCTCCCATGATGAAAGCGGAGCTTCATCTTCATCCTGCTCTCGGAATCCGTGTTGGCTGTCTTCTCTTCCTCTTCCACCTGCCGGTTCTCTCCTCTTTTCTCCACCATTACCATCTCCATTTCCATCTCCATTTCGGCAACGATCACCAATGTCTCTTAATATACGTGAGCATATATAATATACGTTGGCAAAAGAAAAGCCCCGAATTCGCAGTCCGGGGATGCACGTTGCGTATACTAGTTGCTAAGAAACTCTGAGTAAATATTTGACAAAAGTTAGCCCGTTGACTATCAGCAGACGGGAAGGAGCCTAAATCGATGGACTTCTCCACGCCCTTGTCTATTGTCAGTAATCTTCCTAAGGAACTCTATGAGCGAATCAGCCGTTCCTTTGCTCAACCTTTCCAACTGCCGCTTTGTCTTCCCCCCTCTCCTGCTCCTCCTCTAGCTTCCGTACCGCGACAGTGTGCAGTGTGTCAATGCACCTCAGCACTATCAAGGGCCATTGTGGCTTTGGCAGTATTGCCCCCCTTTATCTCTTCTGCGACTATCTCTTCGCTCTAAGGCATGTTGTCAGTAGTCTTCCTGAAGAACTATGGACATCAAGGCAATCAAATTGATCAATGCCAGATGATCGAGCATGACAGTAAACTTTGAACGGCCGCTTCGTCTCGTGTGCTGCTCATTTAGCTTTCGTACTTCAATATCCCTGAAGAGTGTCAATGCTATCGGTACTATCAAGGGCTATGGTGGTTTATGGGAGTATTTTGAAAACACGCATCTCTTCTGCGGTGGCTATCTTTGCTCTAAGGCAGGGATGTGAAGCTTTGGCTTCAGCCATGGCCATGTGGTCATTGATGAGTGCCTCAGCAGCTTGGCTGCTATCCTCCACTAGCTGCTCTTCTGCTCCACTTCGTGGGCCAGTTCCCGTTGAAAGAGGGGTGTTAGCATGTCGAAGGGTAGTTTGTTGACTTTTGCGATTCTCACTGCAGTTGTATGTAGCCTCCAAGGTCCGTTAGGACTCTCTTCAACCTGCTCATGGCTAGATCACCCGGTTTCGGGTCAAATTGATACAACTATCTACAATTTCATTACGCCTACACCTAAGGGTTTAAGCTTGCTGTATCAATTTACTCGCTGACCCATTATGCAAAAGGTACGCCGTTAACCTTTGCAGATCCATAACCATAGCTCTGCTCTGCTTTATGTCCATTATGACATACACCTGGTGTTGCGCAACACTGAAGTGCCATATGTGCTGTAAATGCCGCTCTGTATCAAGTGCAAGCCGGTCAGGGATTGAAAGTGCAGGTTTGTGGGCTTTGTGGAATGAATGGTTGCAAAGCACAGTTTTGCTATTTCGTGCGTTATTCATGGCAGGCCCGGGTTACAGAAGATAAGTGTTGATTCTGAAGTGGAAGAATGTGATCCGCGGAGACTCGCAATGTATGCAGGATGCTTTGTGGTTTCAATTAAAAAGAACAAAAAAAATCCTTGTTTTCTTTCTGTTTTTTTTTTTGCTTTTGCGCTCTTATATCCTTGTGACGATATATACTCCGACGTTGCTAGCTCTCTGCTTTGTAGATGATGCGGTGGCCGTTGGGCCTGTACTAGCAGGCCCTTCTTTTCTTCTCTTTCTTTCTTTCTTTTTTTTTTTTTTTTTTTGAAGGCAAAGAGTCGATGATTTCTGACTAGCAGGCCCTTCTTTGGTTATGGCAGTTCTTTTTTCTTCTTCCTTTTGCTTTGCTCTTCCTCATTGTTGGGGTATTTCGTTTTACGGACCTACTGTATGGTTCCGTTTTTTCAAGTATGGTTATGGTAGAATTGTTGGTATTTTTGGCACCTTCGTCTGCATCCCGGTTGGTGTGTCTCGTTGTTCGGTCCACGTTGCGGTGTTTTTATGTGGGTTGTTCGGTCCACGTGGCAGTGTCTTCATGTGGGACTTGTCATCCGGCCGGGTTCTTTTTTGGCATCCTAGTGGGCTGGTTCCCGTTGTTTGGCCTATTGATGGGAGGCGGTGCTTTTAGGTGGGAATCGTCATCTGGGATTGTCTTTATATTTTTTTGCCGTTGGTGGTGTCCTGGTGTTTCTGCATCCCGGTTGGTTTTGTCTCGTTGTTCGGTCTATTTCGATTTCGGCGAGCGTAGCGGTGCTTTCATGTGGGACCAGTCATCCGGGTTCTTTTTTATTTTAGTTTAGACCAGCGTAAAAGGCCCACATATGGAACTTGTCATCTAGGATATCTATATACAGCAGTTTAGACTCCCGTGCTGGAGATCTGCTGTATATAGATATGTATTTGAGTGGTTTGATATCCTGGTTGGTCTTGTCCCGTCGTTTGGCCTGTGAAGTTGGGGGCGGTGCTTACATGTGGGACTTGTCATCTAGGATCTTGTTGCCCCCCGTTTTGTTATATTTGGCTGCTCCCTTCCTCTTTTCTTTGCCTCTTTGCCTTTTGGCTGTGTGCAAGTGGGTCGATATGACACAGGGGGGTGGGGGCAGTGGCCGCTCAACCTACATCCACGGGGGCGGCCTTGCACGAAGAGGTCATGAACAGGGGGAGTAGTAAGGAAGAAGATAAAAAAAGAAAAAAAATCCTTGTTTTCATTCCGTGTTTTTTCTTTTTTGCGCTCTTATATCCTTGTGACGATATATATATTTAAAAAAGCTGGGAGCATTAGGCTTGGATCCCACAACGCATTTCGGACAAAAATCCGAAAAAGTCCCTGGAAAGCAGGCACCTTGGCGTTCGGCCTGTATATTTTTTTTCGAATCCCACAGCCCCGAGCTTCGAGGGCTATCACAAGAAGTATGGCGGAAAGCAGTGGGCGTACCAGAGGCCTGTGGATTTCTATTGGTCCTATCCAAAAAAAAAGAAAAAAAGAACTTCATTCGGCCTGCCTGCTTTCTGGGGTAAGGTAAGGGGCTGGCGGCTCGTTGGCGCTTCACGGCGGTGGTCATGGTCGGGTCCTGATGCCCCCGGTACCTTGTGGGATCTGGATGCCCCCTACCTTGTGGGATCTGGATTTCTGATAAAAAATGGCCTCGTTAAAGGATTGGGATCCTAGCCTTACCCAGTTTTGTTTCAGGCGTTGAGAGAAATCTTCTAGCAAGAGAGTGGCCAAGCCTAGACCGCTGTCCTGATAGTCTGCCACCCTGGGAAAGCAAGAAAAGGAATGCCATCAAGGCCCAAAAAACCACACAATTCTAAAAGAGAATCGAACCAAAGCAAACAACCGGATGTCTCCAACACCTAACCTACTCTCACAAATCATGAAAAAAAGCTCATTTTAAATTATATTTTATGTATTTAGATATTACCTAACTTGCCAACGAAGGAAGAACACAGAACTTGTACAATAACAATAAGAAAAAGCATTCAAAATCCGCCAGCCTTTTCTCGAAAATGCCTATTCTCAAGCAAATCTAACACTTTTTCTATTATAATTGTTCTATACATCTCATCAAGCACACATTATATCTTATTCTACCACCTGCTATTTGGCCTACGTACCGCCTAGGCGGTGGTGGATATCTCCTCTCAAGATTCTGAGTCGTTTCATCTCACGCTCCCTGGGTTCAATATATTTACGCCTGGGTGACTTGCGTACCATCTTCTTGAAAGAGTAGGAGAATTGCGCGGCTCACTGTCTGGACGTGCAGAGTCTTGGTATTGCCGAGGAATTTGATGGACCTCAGGGAAGTTGTTGCTGGCCCACTGTACATACAATGTACACACTTCCGGCCAATTGAGCGCTGATATGTAGTGTGGGGAGTGGGGTAGGCTTTTAGGTCTCTGAGGTGTCAACAGTTGTGGGGGATTGTGTTGATGCCTGGAATTTGCAGTTCAGTTTGTTTGTCGTGAATTAACACCAAATTGTTGTCGTGTTCTGTACATTGTCGTTTGTTTGAGGTATAGATAGTGATGATGCATTGTTATTGTGAACTGCAGGTTGTGATTTGTGCTGGTTTTACAGACGGTGAAAGTTAGATTGAGTTCCGTGTTTCGTTAACTCCATTCGCATCTGTCACTGTCTGAATGTCATCGTCGTGAAGTAAGAGTTTCCGGGATTTCGAATTTGGTCTGCGATTTCAGATGTGGTTTTTGCTATGACCGTTTTTTTGTTATCAGTTGAGAGTGCGAAATGATGAGAAAAGGTGTTCCTGGTGGTGGTAGAAATATGTGCTTACCAGTGCGTGTTCGTGGTTTGGTTGTGAGTGTTTTTGAATATAGTGCCATCGTGTATTTGTGGATTTGTGCTGATGTGTAAGGTTTGGAGTGTGCATTTGCGTTCTGCTGAGTGTGTTAGGGCCATATGCTTATATAGGATTGTGTACCCTTGGTGTTCCGTACTGGTGTGCGAGTGTCGAGTGGAGCTACCCAGTTTTGTAGCCTGTAATATGTGTGTGTTTTTTGAGACGGTGTAGAATGTTTTGGGTTATTTTTTAACATAAGTGTGTTTTTTGTTCAGTTTTGTGTTTAGGGTTTAGTGTAAGTGGAGTTTGGTTTCCACAAGGAGACGTGTCGAATGACGAAGATTTTTATGTATGTGGTACGTCTTTTGTAGTGTCGACTGTCGTTCTGTGTGGCTGTGGGTGATTTTTCTTCTTCTTTTTTTCACGCAATGTTGAAAAGACTGAGGTTATGCGCTTGACGTTTTCTGCTTGGTATGTGGCATGAAGTTGAGAGGTAGTTGTGGGTAAGTAGTGTGAGGGAATTGTTTGTGTAAGATGGAAATGCTTCTATTTATTTGATGAAGGGTGATTTGATTGAACTCTATTTAGTGACTCTTTTCCCAATGCGACTGCCATGCAGTTGGCCTTATGCACCGGTCTGTCTCTCTGTCGATGATGACGTTTGGAATTTTTATCCACGGGGGTTTATGATTGTAATAGAATCAGGTACATGAAGTAGATGTCTTTTCTGCGAATCGATCTGGGTGTTTTGGTGCAGCATTGGATACAGATTTCCGGGGGGGGGAGGGGGTGTTTGCTGGACCGAGGGATGTGAACCGACAGTCCATAGAGGTTTCCATCTGGTGTGGGTGAGTGTTAGTCTACTTCAATTTTCGTCACAGGTACCTTGAGGGCAGTGGTTGGTGCCCACTTCAGGGTATCAGTTGTCGGGCAGTCGTTGATGCTTAAACCACCAGTACCTTTCCCTGCTTGAAAAACAAATGCCCGCCGGTTAACACGGGAGGTGGGCAGGCTTGGGACTACCGGCCCGAAATGGCTGGTGGCGCCAGCCAAAATGAGGCCCACTGTGGCATACTGATACCACACGGGCCCCAGTTAGGGCCCGGTTCTGTAGTAGGCATGGTTTAGGCCTAGTTACCGGGTCACGACGGTCCCAGTTAGGTCCAGGTAGGCCTAGGAACCGTCGGTGCAGTCCAGGGTCCGGTAGGCCTTGTTTAGACCCCACCAGACCCAACGGCTAGTTAGGCCAGATACCGGTCCATCGGTAGGACCGGTCGGCGGCGCAGTTTAGGCACCACTCTTCAGATTCAAAATCGGATCTGAACTGTTGGGCCTGATCAACGGTCCAGACCCGAAGGCCCTCAGTAGGACTGAGGCCGACCCAGTACTATATCAGCTGGGTACCAGCCTCAGTCGGTAGGTTGGTCGACAGTCAGTCTGGAGGTTAGGTTACGAGTTAGTCTACAAGATTAGCGCAGTGTTTTAGCGTTGGAGAGATTAGCGCAGCAGCACGGAGGAACAGCGCAGCAGCGAGCTAACGCAGCAAGCAGGAGCAGCGCCGGCCCTCTGGCCCAGCCCGCGGCCCAGCACCCAGCCCTGCAGCGCCATCGCTGCACCGTCAGGTACCAGGGAGGAAAGGCGGGGAGAAAAGGCCCGCCTTTCCTCCCTCTTCCTCCTCCTCTGCTTTCGCTCTCTCTCTCCCTCTCTCGCTCGCTCTCTTCCTACTCGCTGAGTCTCAGTCTACTCTCGGGTCGCTCCTACTGGACTACTACGACTATGGAGGATGGTTACGAGTTCTGATGACAGTTGAGATAGTAACATTGAGACATTGGTTGAGGACTACTTCCGGGATCCGACTTCATCTACTTCTGGAGATGTATCTTGATATTGGGAGATCGACATCTGTGACACCGTGAGAGTCTGTTTCCACGACATTTTGGATTTGCGTTACTTATGACTTTCGAGATACTATTTCTGGATTCATGGTGTTGATGTCAACGTCCCTCTCCTCCTCCTTCGTCTCTCCTCTCCCTCCATTCGTCCATGTATGATCTCAGACCCTGGCCTTTTCTTCTGTGTCCAAGGCCAGGGCTTTCACACCACCGATGTATGTTTGTGAGTTTTTCATCACAGTCTGAGTCAGGTCTGAGTCAATCCATGTATCTCAAGTCTTCCGCTGTATCTGTATCTGTATTAACTCTGTATTATCTGGTCGGTTCTGGGAATCTGCGCCATACTTATGACTGTGTTTCACGAGAATGCAACAGTTTGGTATCGGAGCAGACCAGCATTGGATGACTCTCGATCGATCGAGTGAGTGAGTGAGTGAGTGAGTGAGTGAGTGAGTGAGTGAGTGAGTGAGTGAGTGAGTGAGTGAGTGAGGGAGTGAGCGAGTGAGTGAGTATTGAGCGATTGATTGAGCGATTGATTGAGCGATCGATTGATAAACCTGTACTCTGTTATCATTAAATCGCAAGTTGCAAATTTTCTCTTTTCTTCTACTTACATAGTTAATTAGGTCGTTTGAATCCTAATTTTAGGTTTGGCGGCTTTCTCCATGCTGCTAAAAGGGCCTTTACGAATTTAAACCCAGATGAATGCCCCAACAGCGAGGGGCCCTGTCGGCCAGAACTTAAATTCACGAGCAGCAACCCAAACGACAAGGTTCCTGAGGCAAATGTCGCATCCATAATGAAATGAAAAGTTGTTTTGAACAGTCACCAACAGGTCCTGCACGAACAGGTATTGGACACATTTTTCAAGACTGAGTTAGGGTCATGTCTCCTCATGGAAAGTCATGTCTGTTCGGCAATGAGTCAAAGGCCACAATCCCAGTCCAGTCATAATCCCACGAGTCAATCCTGATTCAGACCAGGAGTCCAAAAGACAGGCCCGATGGCCCAAAGCAGCAGCAGAGCATGGGAAAAGATACTGGGACATACACTTTGCAGCAACAGGAACTGGGCAGGAGTCCCAGACACTTGAGACTGAATGCAGGCCGCGCCAGGCCAGTCCAGCACTATAAAAGACTGGCCAGCCTCCCATTTGGACAGATGCTCATCTCGCATGAAGTGTGGAAGTGCCGTGGCACTAGTGCGCTAGTTGTGTGTGAGCAGCGCTGAGCTGAAGAGCAGCGCTATGTGTGAAAGAAGAAGTGAGCGCTGGCTGGATAGAAGGCAGCCATAGCTGCGCCAGCGCTAGTTAGTATATTA